ATGGATAAAACACACACCCCTTGATGAACCCTGGCTAGACGTAGAACAGACACTTTGCAATAATATAATGATCTCGGACCTTCCATTCATTAGCTCAAACATAAAACGACAGGAATGCTTTAAAAGCATCAATATCAGCTCCTCTCTGACAGCTTGGTGGGAGTTTCTTAAAATGACAGAGTCTTCACTAATCCCATGTAAACGTACACCCATCTGGAACAACCCTGACATCCTACAACAGAATAAGATGATAAACTTCCCAGGTTGGAGGTGTAAAGGAATTGAATATTTGGAACATATATATGAAGAAGTGGACTACATCCCATTTAACAGATTAATTACACAATATGGGATTGATAAGAATAAATTTTTAGAATATCAACAAATTAAATCTATAACCAAAAATAAATTTAACCTTAATAACATTAGGATTGAAATGTCAACAAGTGTATTAGAATTCCTTAATCTTAACCCTCCCAAATTACTATCTAAGGTTTATCAGAAACTCAGTAAAATAGATGAATCTATATCTCTTCCCATTGTAAAATGGGAGACAGACTTGTCAGTTAATTTTGACCAAAACTTTTGGTCGCAGATCTGTCTGAGAACTTTTAAGATGACTAAAAACTCGAATTTACAACTAATACAATACAAAATCCTTCATAGAGTACACTATACAGGTCAACGGATGTTCAAGATGGGTTTCGCATCATCTAATATTTGCTCACAGTGTACAGACAATATTCCTGACAATTACATCCACGCATTTTGGTTCTGTCCACCTGTTCAGAGGTTTTGGTGCCGGATATGTGAAGACTTATCAAAGTGTCTGAGATGTAATATTCCACTCTCTCCGTCATTTTGCTTATTGGGCCACTTAGATGATGTCACCTTGGAGACAAAATCAATTCATATTATTCTCACTGCCCTATGTATAGCAAAAAAAACTATACTCATGAATTGGAAAAATAAAAATACACTTAGTATTAAACAGTATAAAGACCTTCTGTTAGATTACATCAGTCTTGAGACAGCCTGTACCCCCACATCGGACTATTCTCTCTGGACTTCTTTAATCGGCTCCAACATAGAGTGGAGGTGGGTGGTCCCCTTTGATTCTGTCCCGTGGGGCATGGTGGTCGGTGTGGGTGGGGTGTCGGGGCTGGGGACGTGGGGGGGGGGGTCATGGGCCTGGAGCGGTGGCGCCCGACTGGGGAGGTGGCTCTGGTGGTTCTGGGTGATGGCCTGTGCTGGCTGCATGCGGGCTTCTGGGCGGTCTGTACCGGCGGACATGGGTTAATGGCCTGGTGACCTGGCTGTCCCTGGGTGGGTTTGGTGTGGACGCGGGCGCGGGTTCTGGGGTGGTATCGCTCCTGGGCAGGGTTCCCGGCTTGGTCCGGGGATCTCGGGCCTTGACAGGTATGTTGCCAGGGTCTTGGGCCGGCGGGTGCACCGGCGCCCGGCCCTGGCCTTGGGGCCTTCGGTGCGCTGGTGGGCTTTGGGGCCTGTGCCGTGGGGGGG